AACCAGTGACAACTGAACCAGGGACAACTGAACCAGTGATAACTGAACCAGTGACAACTAAACCAGTATGACAAGTGAACCAGTGGACAACTGAACCAGTAGACAACTGAACCAGGGACAACTGAACCAGTGACAACTGAACCAGTGACAACTGAACCAGGGACAACTGAACCAGTAAAACTGAACCAGGGACAACTGAACCAGTGACAACTGAACCAGCGACAACTGAACCAGTGACAACTGAACCAGTGACAACTGAACCAGTGACAACTGAACCAGCGACAACTGAACCAGTGACAACTGAACCAGGGACAACTGAACCAGTGATAACTGAACCAGTGACAACTAAACCAGTATGACAAGTGAACCAGTGGACAACTGAACCAGTAGACAACTGAACCAGTGACAACTGAACCAGTGACAACTGAACCAGTGACAACTGAACCAGTGGACAACTGAACCAGTGGACAACTGAACCAGTGGACAACTGAACCAGTGACGACTGAACCAGCGAACAACTGAACCAGTGGACAACTGAACCAGTGGACAACTGAACCAGTGGACAACTGAACCAGTGGACAACTGAGCCAGTGGACAGCTGAACCAGAAACAATTCTAATGTCGTACTGCGCTGTATAGGTATAAGGTAGCGCGTGGCTGGACGGACTGTACCAATCTGCCGGTCTGCCAATTGATCTGTGTCAGTGTCGTCCGAGAGCCGTACGATGGCTGACAGGGCTGACAGAGCCTGGTGGTCGCGAACTGACCGTTACGCCCACCTGGGACGCCCGAATAGTTAGCAACGTATAAATAATATTCACTTTGATGGCGTAACTCGGGACAGACAGGGCATGTAACGTGGGCTTGGCAGAGTTCAGCCCGCTTGGGCCCAGAGGAATCTCCGGTATATAAATGGATTGACTGCTCGGGCTTACATCGGGCTTGCGCCAAACGTCGCACAGCTAGGGCGTAACTACGGCTGTCCTGAGCTCGCCGAGCGCGCATACCTCCGGCAGAGCATTGGCTTTAGTCGGCGTTTTTGAGTCATACGCCGACTGCCCAAATGCTAGCTGGCTTTAGCCCAAGCGCTAGCCGACTTTCGCCCGACTAAAAATCTCGGGCAAGCCTCACTTCAGCCTGCTTGGGCCCGGAGTAAAATTGCTGGCTGGGCTACTGGTTCAGTTGTGACTGGTTCAATTGTCAATGGTTCAGATGTCTCTGGTTCAGTTGTCACTGGTTCAGTTGTCACTGGTTCAGCTGTCACTGGTTCAGTTGTCACTGGTTCAGTTGTCTACTGGTTCAGTTGTCCACTGGTTCAGTTGTCACTTGTTCAGTTGTCACTGGTTCAGTTGTCACTGGTTCAGTTGTCACTGGTTCAGTTGTCACTGGTTCAGTTGTCACTGGTTCAGTTGTCACTGGTTCAGTTGTCTACTGGTTCAGTTGTCTACTGGTTCAGTTGTCCACTGGTTCAGTTGTCCACTGGTTCAGTTGTCACTGGTTCAGTTGTCCCTGGTTCAGTTGTCACTGGTTCAGTTGACACTGGTTCAGTTGTCCCTGGTTCAGTTGTCCCTGGTTCAGTTGTCCCTGGTTCAGCTGTCACTGGTTCAGTTGTCACTGGTTCAGTTGTCACTGGTTCAGTTGTCCTGGTTCAGTTGTCACTGGTTCAGTTGTCATGGAACCGGTGGCAAGGTCCGGAGTGGGTATCTCTCGCCGATTGAAAAGCGGCTTAATAAACCTATATCGGTTAAACAGTATACTTTTCCCCATCTTCCAAACCATTTCATCGAGTTTTGAGATAAGTAACTTTCAGACTTGACCACAAAAAGTAAAAACGGCACATCATCCCATTAAAATAACCCTGCTTAATGCCTAGCGCTCCGAGCTAGTAGCCTAAACATCACATTTCATAAGAAATAACTGCGCAAGTCGTCAGACTCACCTGTGCGAGTCGTCGACGGCCCAGACGGCCGACTGTCCGGCGGAGACGTGTTTCAGTTTCCTGCCCTCGGGGTGCTCCACCTGGGCCCAGCCGGTGCCTGCGGAGAGCCCAGAGTCGGTCAGGTTCTTCTTTCCAATAAGCAACACACATACTATTTTAGTAATTGCATCAAAACTTTTGGAGAGCTAAGTTCATATAAAAAATCGCTTAGTAAAAAGTTATATTTCGCTGCATTGCGCCATGCGATTAGACGAGAGTGGCCGCTGGGCGGTAACGCCGCAGCGGAGCCGGGCGGTGCCGTGTGTGTGTTGGTGTGTGTGTGGGGGGGGGGGGACACTCACCGAGCGGCCGCTGGGCGGTGACCCCGCAGCGGAGCCGGGCGGTGCCGTCGCGCGCCACGGCCCACACGCAGCCGTGTCCGCCGCAGCTGATGGCCGCGAACGGCTGGTCGGTGGTGACGGAGCTCCAGCCGCCGCCGCCGCCGCTGCCGTCCGGCCGCGACTCGAGACGGTGCAGCACGTCGCCGGCCGAGGTGACAGCCCACAGGTGGATCTCGCCGCCCAGCTCCTGCACAAACACAGGGCACGGCTACTGAACACCGCTGACGGCACGCCACAGCTCCCGTTCAAACACACGGCACAGACATTGAACACAGCTGACAGCACGCCACAGCCCACAGGTGGATCTCGCCGCCCAGCTCCTGTCCGAAACAGAACAGGTCACGAACAGTTCCTATTCAAAACACACTGAGTTATAGCCCTCTCCATACCATAACACGTCATCACCCAATTCCCCGTCCACATAGCACAAAGAACGCTCCCATCGAAGCCCAACTCTTTGATGTAAATACTCTTTTAATAAACTCTTTGACGAGCTCATATTGACGTAAAGCTGTGCAGGCGCAGCAGAAACCAAACCACTCGTCACTCACGTGCATGGAAAGGTCTCGCAGTTTGACGTTGTTGACGCACTCCCAGGGGCCGGTGGTTTTCAGATGACACTTGCGGTACCAGCGTCGGCGGCGCACAAAGTCCTGTCGGGACGACCGATGGGCAGTCAGCGGCGAGAAAGAAACGGGGTGGTGGCACACAGAGACAAACAGGCTGGGTTACACAGACAGCCCGGAGCGTATGTCATGAAGATAACTCGACAGCGATCCGAACAGGCTGCATATAGCAGCGGGCAACCGTCATCACATGACATGTTCACAGCCAAATCAGCGAAAATATGATCAGAATGTTCGGTCATTTGTACTGGTAGCACTGGAATGGTTACGATGGTACATCATTTATCCTTCAAACAAGTTAAGGTACGAGAAACATGCTTACTAGCACAATTAAACTTTGCAGAGTGAATGCCTAAGCCAGATTTATTGCAAAAATAGACGTCAACCCCTGTCAACATAGGCTTCCAAATGACAAAACATTCTTGATGAAGCGTCAGGGGCATTTTTCTGCGACTGATTCATGCATTGTTATCATGACAAGTTACTGGATCCAAGCAAATAATCTGCCAGCAGAAATAAGGCACATAAGATGGCATCGTTTAGGGCCAGGCCACGAAGATATCACCTGCATTTCCACATAGTCGTGTAATCTTACCTCCTCTCGCTCTCTCACCCAAAGTACCGGCTTGTATTGTGATCTCACATACTGCACTAGCCGGTGTTATCAGTATCAGCCACAGTATCGGCCTTTAGTAGTGTGATCTCACATCCATGCCCGGTAACTGCCTTTAGTAACGTGATCTCACATCCATGCCCGGTAGCCGGTGTACCTAAGTCCCTAGCAGCCGTGTCACCTCACCTATATAGCACATTAGCACGGTCGCCGTGTTATCTCACCTACCGTCCCCGGTATCCGCTTTATCTCACCTGTAGACCCTAACGGCGAGTAATAGTCCCGAGGTGGCGTGTAATGCCCGGTAACCAGTGTAATTACTTACATTCCCGCGATAGCCGCTGTCTTCTCACCCACAGTCCCCAGTAGCCGCTGTCTTCTCACCCACAGTCCCCAGTAGCCGGTGCAGCCTAGCCTACAGTCCTCGTTAGCTAGTGCTATCTCACCTGCATCCCTCTGTAGCCGTGATAGGAGGCCGGGAAGTCCATGGCGTACTGCCAACCTTCCTCATCCACCCCGCCCGACACGTGAAAGTCCACCGACCAACTGGAGACCTGACGACAGCAGCGCGTCGTTAAACAGAGATAATCTGTCACAGAGAAAGGCTGGACTTGAGGACAGCACCGCACCGATGAACAGTCAGAGAGAAAGCCACTGGAGGCCTTGGGACAGTGTCGCGCCGGTAAATAATCAGAGAGAAAGGCTGGAGACCCGGGAAACAATCAAAGTCTGGGGGCCTGGGGACAGCGGCTTACGTCCGGTGGTCAGTCAGACAGAAATGTTGGAGGGAGGTGATGTCCCGGGGACAATATCGCACCGATGCACAAAGGTGGTCAATCAGGAGTAAAGGTAAGTAAAGGAGCATAACTAGGGACAGCAGGCCACCGCTCATGGAAAGTATTCGCAAAAAAGCTCGACACCTCATACATTGCCAGTTCTTGTTCTTGTTGGATTAGGGCGCGTAGCTGCCAGGGCTCAAGCGTCCATCTTCTTTCTTCTCTCACTTGGTATCTCGTCTCGTATCGCTGATAAGGGATTTTGCTTTTGGGAAACTAAGCAGGGTCACTAAGCAAGGCTCTTAACCCTATTAGTGGCAGGCTCCTGGCTACCCCTATTAGTGGCAGGGGGGGGGCTGTTTACGACCCCCCCCCCTTGATATCTCGAGATCTAACGGGCCGATTTTCAAAATTCAAACGGCATTCGATTTCGCTCAACGTGATCTACATTTCTAAAAAATAAAAATTAAAAAATGTCAATAGGGGGGGGGGGGTAGAGGGGGGTAAAAACGGGCAAATTGCAGATACATTTTAGACTGTTTATCACGGCCAGGTTTCTGAACCAATCTTAACGCAACTTTTGCCGATCGAAAGAGAATGAACCAGGAATTCACATGGATCCTAAAAATATGCATTTTCAAAAATCATAGTCACTAAGGAGCTAGCTATTGGGATGAGCAGACGTGTTTAGCAGTGCTCTAGTTTACTGCCTATTTTGGCGTAATGGACCCGCATAATGACTTTGAGATAAGCATGAAACGAATCTTAATTTAACGTAGAATATTTTGGTGGTATTTGCAGATGAGTTGAATGGTGAAATAATTGAATTATAGGCTTTAAAAATTGATTATTTTGACCCAGTTTTGAAATTTTAGACTCACCATCGCGTTAATTCTGCTCTAGATTTTTAGTAGTAAGTCTCGTGCTAGTTCTGAAGAGAGATCCTTATAGCCAATAATGTCAGACTCTGACACCTCGGTTAGTGGCTACGATCAAACAGTGGGAGAATGGGTTGTGGCGAGAAAGACCAAACGGAGCAGGATAAGCAAGGCAAAAATCGTAGCATCAACGATTACGGACGCTGAAGAAACTGTACCGAAGAGCATTTTTTGTCCTATCTCTCCTCTCACCAATCAGCCTACCGCGGCCCCCGAACAGCTGACGAGTGCGACTAACTCTACGCATACCGGCGAGAATGACGACAAAGCATCCCACGACAGGGTGGCGACGAGCGCGAGGGCGCCGACCCTGGACCAGCTGATCCCCACTAGTGCGACGTCAGCCGACAAGAAACGTCTAATCGCTGAGTCGGATTGCATTTTCAGTGGGCGCTACGACCCAGCTGCGGTGTGCTGTATCATGGCATCCATGGACGAACCCGACCTGAGAGAGCTCCGAGAACTGCTGCATGCTGCGCTGTCTGCGGTCATCCCGGCTGTCGCCGGCCGTCCTCTCTGCCGCCGTGTTACCGGCAACTTGGCTGGCCTAGCGGATGACTGCTGGACCTTGGGCTACTCGGCGGCTCAAGGTATGCTGACACAGCGTGCTAATGCTGCCACTCTGAAGCCAGCGGGTCGCAATCCCCTGCCACCCCCCGGTCCCACCCGGAGCCCGCCCTCGGACTCTGCTATGTCGTGCCCCAGCGCGATAACTTCGTCACTCGAGGCGATCATATCCACCCAGCTGCGAATGGAGAATGAAATTAGGGAGCTTCACGCTCGTCAAGCTACCCAGGATGCTTACAAAACTCGTCTGAAACAGCTGGAACTGGAAATAACTGGTCTCCGCAGAGAATGTGCTGCTAGAGATGACACGATTGATCAGTTGAAGGTCCTTGTAGAGGGACTGCTAGCCCGTGAGGGCCCACAGCCACGCCGGCCAGTCACCCCTGGATTACAGGTGCAGCCGGGGCGACATGACAGCGATGCGAGGTCCGCTGCTAATGATGCTACTGCTGTAACTGAAGAGGCTCACTCTGACCGCACCGCCGCCCGCGAGATTGCCGCCAACTTGGATCTGTGGCGGCCGAGACAAGTAGATAAAATATGATAAAATTATATTGAGAGACGAAAAGAAAGAACATGACAGTTTGAAAGTAGGCCGCACACTCCGAACTAAAAACAATTTCTAGCATCGACGTTGACTCGGTTTTCTGAGCTAAAAAGAAATATTGTTTTTCACGCGCGCAGCAACAATGACAAGAAAATAAACATGAATCAAATAAGGCGTGATAAAATAAGAACAAAGACCTCTAATAAAAGGAAGTAAGAACTAACTCGCCACAACACTCACCGCCCTAGAGCGGAGCTAGTAAGTAGGTATAGTAAATTATCTTGCTAAAAAAAAAAATCGATCACAAGTTCTCAGACAGAATAGGCGTAGACCGGCTCTTGGTGACTGGCGACACAGCGCGTGCCGCGTCGGACGGGAGCGGCGATGAAACGGCGCATCCCGGAAACTCCGGCGACGGCGGCTTGCGACTCGCTGACTTGCGTTCTGCGTTTCGCGGCGACGTATGGGTTCATGTCGTTGACGAACGCTTGGGTATGAAGTAGGTAGGTACGAAGATAAGAAGCACCGCGGTGGAGCAGGCGGCGTGGCTCAGCGCGGTCTGGATCCACCTTGGTTAGGCCACAAGTCAGCGGAGCCGCTGTTGGGAGAAGCGAGCTTGAGGTCGGTGCGCTGGTATCAGCCGGTGCGGAGGGAGGCGGCGCGGCATGGGTGCGGGGCGGCCCGAAACCACCGGCGATTCTTCAGGTTATCGTCTGGTCGGTTGTCTTTCTTGTGTGAGTAACGTAGTAGATGCATCTCGTTTTCGTTTTCGATTACTTGATATGTTTCTTCCTCGTTCTTCTCTTAAAGTCTTCTTTGAATGTGCAGGTATACATATATACAATCTTGAAGAGCAATAATTTACTGTTTAAAAGTTAAATTCAGATCACGTCGGGGTCACCAATGTGGCGGCCGAGACAAGTAGATAAAATATGATAAAATTATATTGAGAGACGAAAAGAAAGAACATGACAGTTTGAAAGTAGGCCGCACACTCCGAACTAAAAACAATTTCTAGCATCGACGTTGACTCGGTTTTCTGAGCTAAAAAGAAATATTGTTTTTCACGCGCGCAGCAACAATGACAAGAAAATAAACATGAATCAAATAAGGCGTGATAAAATAAGAACAAAGACCTCTAATAAAAGGAAGTAAGAACTAACTCGCCACAGATCTGCGTGCCCTGGGTGAGGCGATCGCTGGTGCCCTGCATTGGCGGGTCGGCGATTCAGACAGTGAGCCAGAGCAGCAGAACACGCATACCGTGTCTGAGCGTAGGACAGCGCAGCCCGCGAACCACAGTCAAGCAGCAGTGCCGACTGCGGCACCGACCAGCGACACGTCTGCCGCGGCTCCAGGCGGTCCGACACGGCGACAGAGCATGGTGACCGGCTCTGGTCCCCCATCAGCTCTGATTCAGGAGCCGCCTCGTCAAGAATCTCGGAAGGAGAAGTTCATCCTGGAGGGCTTCCGTGTGGATGTTGCTGACAGTGACGTGCGGAGTCTGGTCTGGACGGTTGTTCGCAATCTCCATGATTTCCAAAGGGTATCACGCCGCGGTCCTGCTGCCTCTGTAAGCAAGGCGTTCAAGATTGAGGTTGATGCTGAGGACACCGATCGTATATTGGACCCGTCCAGCTGGCCGACTGGCCTGGTTGTGCGCCTTTTACCTCACCCTGTGAACACTGGGCGCCGAGGACAGCGTTTTCGCCGTCCTGCGGCCTCATCTGGAAGATCACAGACGACCCGGAGTGCTGCAAAAAGAACTGAACATGGCAATGCTAACTGGCAGGCGACGGCCCCGCGCCGTTACAGTGATGTGGTCAGAGGCATTGAACACTGTGACACTGCCTGGACGGCGGCCGCCCAACGCCGGGACGAAGATGAGACCCGCCGGGAAGCAGTCACCTCACAGCGCTCCAGAGCCCCCAACAGAGACTGCACTCACGGCGTCGGTACATCTAGCGCGGTCGACGCTGTCGGCGGCGACGGAAGTAACGCCACACATGGTGACGGTGGCTGGGAAGAGGAAAGGCCGCGCCGTTATGGACCATTCGTGCCAGCTAGATACCATGGACACCAAGATGACAATGCATGGGTGTCAACCTATCAGCGCCGTGATGGAGACGGACACTGGGCAACAGCCGCCTCTCACCGCCCAGGCGCCCCTAGTCGAGGCAGCGAACAGGACGCCGGCGCTCCCTGGGTTCCAGCTGCCTCCCGTCACGTCAGAGGAGGCGCCACACACGGTGGCAACGGATGGAGGGCGACTGCTTCGCAATGTGACGGATCCGGATACCGTGGGTGGCCCTATCAGCGCGCAAGAGAGGCCACCTCCTGGGAATAGCGCCCAGATGGCTACTCCTGGGGGCCATCCCTGTCCTGCTGCCACCGCTGTGAAGCATGACAGAGCGGAGTGCCGTAATGCTGTGGACGCAAAAGTAACTCTGAACATGAGCCTCACTCTGGGCACTTATAACTGCGAAGGATTTCTCGCAGGAGCGCAGTATATCGCCGACTGTCTAATACCTGAATGTGATATCTTATTTTTATGCGAAACCTGGCTAGCCCGTGCCCAGGGTGCTTATCTGGAGCATGCACTCTCCTCTCTAAGCTCCGAAGAATTTCAGGTATTTCAAGAATTCGCCATGGAACTACCACCAGGGACTGGAGATGGCAGACCCCACGGTGGCGTGGCTTTTGTTTGCCGCCGTCAAGCGGGGCGCACATTTCGCGCTGTAGAGTGTAATGACTCTCGCATCTGTGGAGTTACGATTGTGGAGCTGAGCCGTCCTCTTATAACAATAATTGGCTGCTACATGCCGTACTGGAATTCATCTGCCGTAAATTTTGAAGAGTACTATTGAGCGCAGAATCCGCGCTCATACCGGGACCGAGGCTGGGCCACGGCGGGGCAGGCCTGGTGTGTCAGAGAGTGTACCGATTAGTGTGATGCGGCACAGTATCCTTTGAGGGTCACGGAATGACATGACCTGGCTGTTTCTGTTCCGAGTGGGGCGGAAAGCCGGGGAAGGAGAGCCGCAGCATGCGGCCGCAGCCCGCGTGGAGTGTGTGCGGCTAGACGTCAACGTGAGCGTGATGGCACACCTCATGGGTCTTGACAAGGGCAGGCTCATCTTTCTTTTCGATCAAGGTCACTCTGTCAAGCAGGCGGCAGAGATTCTCGGTGTAGCTCTTACTACTGCCAGACGGTGGAAACACCGTTATGAGCAGGAAGGGGAAAGGGGTTTGAAAGCGCGCTATGATAAGTGTGGAAGAAAATGGAAGACGACGGAGGAGGAAGACAGGCGCATGGTGGAGGTTCGTACTTTTCTTTTATTATGTGTTGCTGTTGTCTCTGCATTTCTAGGTCAAGACGAGCGTGTGTGTAGTATCAGATGACTAATCAGGCCAGCATAATGATAATATCGGGCCAAATGACTAATCGGGCCAGCATATAATGATAATATGTCGATTAAACAGCATGTTTAGTTGATTAAACGTGTCAAACTATTTAATGAGGTTAGTGCTTGTACGAGGAACATGTTTATAAATAGTAGACAATGTAAAAGCATGACCCTTTTTCCTCGATAATTACCTAAACTAATGCTGTACAAATATATACTTTACTTGACAGAATGTAATATTTATTTCGACCACAGGTCTTTTTCAAACATTTTCAAATTAGAAAAGTGTCAAACTATTTACTTCAAGATAGGATTGATAATAATAGCGAGTAATTTTTTTTTCGGATCTCGCTTAATGTCGCAAGAGCCACAGCTCAAACATTTTATATTCATGTTGAATACTTGTAAAGTTTGTGAGACAACTTTGCTGGAGAAATAATCCCAATATACACAGTACACACTGCCGCACTAACTCCGCGCGGGCTGCGACTGCATGAATCGCTCCGTTTCCCCGGCCTCCCTCCCCCACTCGGGGGGAGGGAGGCCGGGGCGGCTGCCTTCCGTGCGGCGGCTGACCCAAGTTCACCAGACAGCAGCCGCCTGGATGGGATACTGTTCCGCAGCGCACTATCGGTACACTCTCTGATACACCAGACCTGTCCCGCTTCGGTCCCGGTATGAGCGCGGATTCTGCGCTCAATAGTACACAATCCTGACGGGGAAGCTTGATGCATAACTCTCTTCGCTAAGACCCTCAGCTCCAGTGGTGCTTGTAGGCGATTTTAACTGTGCTCTGCCACCACTGTCACCAGAACTGCGCCCACCGGGCTGGCACTGTCTTCGGGGTTTCTCTCCGCTGAGTCTTCTAATGCAAGACTTATTGGACGACCACGGACTGACAGTCGCCGAGTTCCGGTTCTCGCAACCAGTGGCGTACACCTATGCTCGAGCTGACGGCCAGTCGCACATCGATCACATCGCTGTACCGCAATGTCTGGTACCTCAAGTTCATGATTGTCGCATCGTAGCCCCCTGTGTGGACAACCTGAGCCCACATCTTCCGGTCCTTTGCAGCGTGGTGCTGCCGTCTGCCTCAGCTGGCACCAGTCTCGATGTATCCAGCCCTCCACTGAATATGGGTTCCATCCATTCAGAAGTACTAGATTGGAGTTGTCCAGAAAAACTGCAGATATATTTGTCTTCTCTGGACGAGCTTATTGGTGCTTGTCAGCTCACCAACGGTGCCACCCCGGATGAGATTGACGAAGCAATTACACGATGCATACATACCGCTGCGCGAATCGCCGGATGCTCCAAGTCACGACGTCCCCCGAAGCCCTGGTGGTCGCCTGATGTGGCAGTGGCGCGGGATCGCACTCGTCTCTGGCATCAGATATGGGTAAACTGTGGCCGTCCTACCCTCTCAGCAGTGGCACAGTGCTATCAGGCTGCAAGATCTGCTTACCGTCACGCCCGCAGACGTGCAGCGGTGACGCGGATCGAGAGCGAGGCCCACACTCTCCGACTGCTCCGCCGTGACAAAAATCTGACAGCCTTCTGGCGACGTGTGCAACAGATACGGCGTAATGGACTCAAGTCGGCCTCTGATCTATCCGCCGCCGACTTCCGCACCCACTTCCAGACTGTGCACCAAGATAGTCACAGGCAACTGACTCTGGACCAGCTCCAAATTGCTGAACATGTAGATTCTCGACTAAGGAGAATCCGTAACGATGCATCCGAAAGAACGGTTTCAGCTGGACAAGTAGCAGGCCTCATTCACCGGTTACAGCGTGGGAAGGCACCTGGTATAGACGGCATCACGGCGGAGCACCTTCTCTATGGTCAGTCGCCTTGTCTCCTGTCAGCTCTGGCGCACCTTCTCTCTGTCTGCCTGTCCACGTATAGCGTGCCAGCTACCTTCGCTGACAGCGTTATTGTACCCGTGTTGAAGAAATCTCAATCGGACCCTAACTGCTTGGACAACTATCGACCGATTTCAATCACAGCCTGCGCATCTAAGCTGCTCGAGCTGTTAGTGCTAGACGAACTGAACGCCTCATTTGAACCTCATCATCTGCAGTTTGGTTTTATCTCCAATCGGGGCACCATGCAAGCGTCTCTGTTGGCTGGAGAGACCATACAGCAGAATCGAGCCAGGGGTCTTCCTGTTTTTGTCGCAAACCTTGACGCGAGGAAATGCTTTGACCGAATATGGCATGACGGTCTGTTCTTCCGTCTGGAAGATTATCTTAGCGACTACTGCTGGTGCCTCATGGTCACCTGGTACCGCCACCTCTCTGCAAGGGTGACTTTTGGTGGCGCCACATCTGAAGCGTTCCTGGTCTGCAGGGGCACCAGACAAGGGGCCATCTTATCGCCAACCCTTGCAAACATCTTCCTCTTACCTCTTATTGAGGTCCTAGATCGCAGCGGTCGTGGAGCATATCTACACAGCCAGCACGTACCCGCTATCTGCTACGCTGACGATATTCTCCTTATATCTGCGAACGCGCGTGACCTCGGTGCAATGCTACAGATGGTGGGAGAATTCGCGGCTACTTGGCGCCTCGACTTCGTTCACCCTGAACCGGGAAAAACCAAGAGCCATTGTATTATATTTGGACAGGAACTATTCACGAGCACACCGAGGTGGACACTGTCAGGACAGCAGCTGCAGATCCGGCAGACGACCGAGCACCTCGGTACGGTGCTTGATGACAACCTCAGCACAGACAGCCACGTGGCTCAGCGCATCAGGCGCGCTTGTGCATCATTCTACGGCCTCACACCCCTGGGCAATTTCACCAACCGCCTGACTGCTGCTGACAAAATCTTCCTCTGGAAGACAGTAGTGCTGCCGGCACTGATCTTCGGCTGTGAGACGGCTCCCCTCAGTTCCGCCGACATTGAGCGTCTAGACTCGCGACAGGCTTCGCTGATCAAGGCAGCGCTGGGTCTGCCGCGTTCTGCGCACCATACGGCTCTTTTGATTGCTGCTGGGGTGCCTCGCATCGGTGAGGTGCTGCGAGGTGATGCCCTCCGCGCATTCCGTAATGCTTTCCGCGCTGACCACCGTCTTCGCCAAGCCTACGTCACTGGACTGGCCAGACTTGCTACGTACCCCGAGCAGTTGGATGGGTCGTTTATTGGCCACGTATATAATCTGTGTGGTGGGAACTTCGGCGCTATCATGCACATCGCTGCTGGGTACGTCGATCACGACATAGTCCGGGCACCACTCCAAGAAAGTGGTCTTATAGACAGTTTGAAGATGGTTTTGGCAAGCAACTGTCAGGCCTCGCGGCGCCTGTTAAGACTACTAACCTCCTGAGTGCTGATTAACTGTGTGTGTGGGTGGGTGTGGGGGGGGGGGGGTATGTATCTTTTTGTCGCATGACGATGCTGAATAAACAATAATAATAATAATAGGCGGATACAGATCATTGAGATTGGGGGTACACAAAAAGTATAGTAAATAAGGTTTTTGTTGGTACTGTTTCTAAAAAGGGAGGCAATGGTCTTGTTATGTTACAATTTTCTTATGAGAGAACGACTAGAATTGTATTGGTCATGCATAGGCGGTGTCAGGGCACCTATGTTGGGAGGTAAAACATAACCCCCCTTTTTGGACGCCTGGATCCGCCTATTATAGCAAAAACGTGTCAAAAGAGGATGCACACTAACTGTATATGTTATCACATGATACCTTTCATTCACTGTTCGTAAAACTGGTGCAGCATCGTGATCTTCGCCCAAATGACTCGCTTCACGAATAGGACCCCCCAATTCCCAGTGCTCTGGAGCCGCCCCTGGTAAAGTTATGAACTTGAAATTTTCAGGGAATGTGCCCAATTTAGTTTTAGGAAAAGTCAGAAAATTTCAGCATCGTAGCTTCAGCGGTTTCGGAGATATTCCCGAAAAACCTGAGGGGTGGATAAAAACAACCCCCCCCCCCTGCCACTAATAGGGTTAAGAATGCAGTATAGCTGGGAATGGGTGTGCTGCAAGGATTTTTCCCAGAGAAGGAATACATTGCATTACATTGAAATACATTGCCAGTTGCTACACCCCCACTCTGCTTTGTTCCAGACACCGCCACACTGGCCGATGGCGCGGCTGCGCCGGTGTGCGCGGCTCGCGGTCACCCACCCAGTTCCAGTGCCGGGACGGCGGCAGCACCGTGTCCTTGGTGAGCTGCACGCGGCCGGTGCGGTCACTCCAGGTGGGCCGGTCCGTGGCCAGGCCGCGGTACGAGAACCCTGCCGGCCAGTCCCCGGTCAGCTACTCAGGAGATGCTGCGGTAAAATACACTTGCACGGCCTTTCAGGACAATGCGAGAAC